TATAAAGGGCTGCTCTCATGTAAATCTTAGTATAAAGTTATTTTATCTTCTTTTAAACTTTCTTTAAAGTCTTCTCACGCAAGTTATAAAATATTTTTTTTCTTTTTATTTTATTATTTTATTTTTTATTAAATTTTAATTCAAATTTTCTTGTAAGTAAGAGAAAAGGGAAATGCCAACCATTAGAAAAATTATGATAAGCATTAGAAATTTTTATTAATTTGCCAACAAACGGAAACTCTGTCACACACACAAAAAAAAATTAGGCAAATAGAAATGGAAGTGAAGCAAATTCGCTTTCCTTTTTTTTTTTTTTAAAGATTCTTTCCTGGCTTTTGATTGAAATTGTTTGCATTATTTCTTCCTTTACCGGAACTCAATCAATATTCGGAATTAATAGAACTGGCACAAGAACTAATCGATAAACATTAGGTCTACAATCTTGGTTTACGTTGCAAACAACGTAACTGTCTTCAAATTAACCGATAAAATTCGTTAATATTTTAAAAATAATTTACTCAACACGTTCTAGAATTCATATAATAAATTATAATTAATATATATCGAGTAATTTAAAAGAAAAAAATATATATAGGATTTATATAAAATTTTCCAATAAGACTTACTTGGCTTATATTTATATACCGATTTTTCTCAAAGTCTGGCAGAATGTAGGAAACTCACGCTTGGTATCTAAAAACAAACCAAAGTGGGAGATATGGGGCCTCTCGGAGAATAAATATAGATTTTACTTGACGTGTTTTTATACGTTTCGTTACTATTTGAACGAAATTTCAATAAGTAACGTGACTAAACTCAATCGATAGTTATATCAAGACTAAAATGTCTCTCGTATGTGTCAGATTGTGATTATTATATGTGAATGTGGTGAGAAGATTTTTCTTTTAAATTATCATCATTTTAAACGAATTTTTTGGATTAATTCTATTGATATGCACCTGTCAAAGTCTTTTCGTGTTTCTCATTTGCTACGATCGATCCCGCCGTACAGGTAAATCTACGGTTAAAGAAGCGAAATTTCCACCTGCATTATTATAACTTGGAAGATCGTTTGTATATTTAAAATGATTTTTCTACATTATAATAATTTCCCCCGTTAGTTCGTGGCATAGTAAACGGGTGATTTAACCGATATTACGGCGATTATCCCTTAGTAATTCCTCGAAAACTCAATTTTTCCGTAACTAGGTCGAGTGGGATTCGATTTAAATTTGCATATTTAAAAAAAAATATATATATATTTATATATATTTATTTAATTTCACCGAAGTTTTGTAACGTAAGAGTTACATAAACAGGAAGAAAGTGAAGAAAATAAATATTATCCGGTAAGGCGATCTTTATCAATGGATGCAATACGTCCGATGACGGCACTAAATAATACTTAGATGACAAAACAATGTGATGAAAGTGGAGGGTGTGCGTATGATGCGACGTCACCAGGAACCTTCCCCGGCTTCTAATTTTAGAATAACCTTTTAAATTTTTAAGTCAAAAGTCGACTTAATCTGTTCTTTAATGAATAGAGAAGGTTGGATGCTCTTCCTTTTATATTAGTTTTCTCGTATAAAAAAAAAAACGCTAAAGGCGATAAAAATGATGGCTAATTTATGGGTTGTCAAGATACTCATCGTTAGAAACGATAAGTAATCTAGAAATCTCTGGTAAAGAAAAGAAAATTAAAATGGTGGAAGAGAATTTACGCGTATAAAAATAAATAAAAAATTCAGAATAACTTAGAAAATCCAGTTTTAAATTATATAATATTTAAATTTTGTTAAACTATTTAAGAAAATACATGCAAAACGGCTACTGCTATTACTAGCGATTGGTAAGAGATGCATTCTCTAATTATTCTCGATTATTTTAATGTGTTTTAAACGCAGATTTTCTTAAGAGAAAATATTAAAAAAAAAAATTATTTCGATAAAAATTATCGTTAAAATAAAATATCCCGAATAAGATAATATAACTTCCGAACCGAAACTCACCATTTTTAATATTAATATCCAAGTGCGCCGTTATTCCAAAGAGAATGTGGAGAAGCACATCCAATGTTTCCACATGGCCGGCAGGGGCGCTTTAGTCGCTTCCTGTCATAGAGAAACACGTGTTGGCGGTGACGTCACGTTTGGTGAACTCGACCACTCCCTTGGGTCACATGTTCCTCTACACTAACGTAAGGAAACGAGATGGCGCAAAGATTCCTGCTTTTTTTTCATCCATTAATAATTAAAAAGAAAAAACAGAAAAGGTGAAGGAGAAAACAGGGAATAACAAATGTTTACGTCATCTCTTCGAAGATGTTAAAGGGTTCAACAATTGACGTTAAGTCTGTTAACGGTGGGTAAGAGTTTATACGGGGGACAGCAATACTTAACCGGTGTAAAGTTGATAAAGATACGACAATTCTAACGTTTGGTTGATGACAATCTCCATCAAAAAATAAAAAAAATAATAAAAAAAAAAACTACTTAATGAGTGTCTAGCCAACGCCTTTAATTACAACACCGAAGCAGGTGTGGCGAGATCGATACCTTTTCTCACAGAAAATAGTCGAAATTTCCAAAATATTTCTTAATAACTATATAAATTTTACGAATTAACAGATGGAAGAAATTAAAATTAATTTCTAAGAATCATAATCAATTGATATTCGTGTAATAAAGCGAGATACTCCACCCCTTTATGATGGAAAAAAAATCACTTCTTTTCTTTATAAAAATCCATCTAAAGATTAAAAAGGATGATATTTAGTCACGAAATTATGTTTTGTTATTATCGCATTTTTCTCCTTGTAAAAGAAAAAAAAAATGAAGTGATTATTACAGGGTGTGGTTTTCTTCAATTTTGAATGTTTATTAAGGATACGTTCCGTAGTTACGAGTATCTTGAGTAATTTTACAATCCTATTATTGACTATAAACGTCGTAAAAGTAATAAAACTTCCAAATATCTGTTTTATATCCTCGCTGTTAATTGTCTAAACATTGCATTCGAAATTTGAAAGAGTTTATAAAACGAAAATTAAAAATAAAACGTTTTAAATGAATAAACATCCTTTTAAATAAAAAATTAAAGTTTTTATTTAGTAGAATTTTTAAATATTCTAATTTTAAAGTTAATTTTACGATCATAAATTTAACCCATTTGACGTGTTATTAGTCATTTACTTTAATCTGTATCTAGATATTAGAGAAACAGTAAAATTTTCCAGCTCGTAATTTTAATTGTTTTATGACTAATCTCTTAAAATGAATTGTAATTAATTGAGAAAATGATAATAAATATATTTTTCCCTTTATTTCCTGAATAAATCGTGCGTAAAAGTTTCCTGTTCATTCTTGCATTAGGTTGTTAGGCGACACCATGCAAGCAAATCTTCTCTCGACCCTCCATTGCAATCTATCAGTCATGTGACCAAATTACTTAGCCAGAGAGATGTCAGAGCCTTTTCAGCATTTATTACAATACATTATCCTGAAATCGCAGAAAATAATTGAGATAATTTTTCCTCGGATAAAAATTGACCGGGAAAATCAGTCTATTATTTTTAACTTTAATATTGTTCGCCTGTCTTTTTTCCATCGAATTCCAATATATCTATATGATCTCATCTCTGATTTTTTTGTGTATTATCTGTCAAAGTTTCCTGCTTTAATTTTTTTCGATAATCTTATCTTAATTATGACAAAGACTGGAAAATAAATTCATAAACTTCCCTTTTCAAACAGACCCTACAATTGTTCAATGTCAACATAAGATTTATATCGCATTTTAACGTGTAAAAAAAGGTATTCTAACACGTTTCTCGACTTTTAAATAACTAAATATAATCAATAATTTAATTATCTCTCATCTAAAAGTGAATTAAATTAACATAAATTCGATCTAAGTACAGTTTTAAACTTAAAAATGTTATAGGTTTGCTTCCCTGTAGAGCAGAATTGTTATGCAGGAAAGACAGAATTACAGGCTTTACTGGAATTTCTGTTTGCTTAAACGTTAAAAATATCCGATTTTTAAAATTATTTTTAAGATAATTATAATTAAATATGCTTTAGAAACATTTTACACAAATATTATATATATATTTTTAAGTGAAATATTATAAATTATAAGAATACTTTATGAACGGATTATAAATGATTGGATTAAATCAGGTACAAAGTAAATATAGATAATAAATTATAGGGGAAAAATCAATTGAAGTTATACACCAACAAAGGCTTTCACTTCCGCTTTATATATCCTTTATATTATCTACAACAAATCGAATTATTAGAATTAGATATAGGAAAAGTCGACGAGGTTAAGTGATAATAAAACGTGAGAAATGCTATTTTATTACTATAACTTATTATAAGAACTTTCGATGCTTTCTTATCACCTTAAATTTTCAATTATTAGAAAATAACCACTATCATTTTCTATATTATAATACTTACAAAGGATTAAAAATAAATTTTCTTGTCAAAGATTAGAAAACATAATTTTTTAATAAAATATTTTAGTATTGTAAAGACCTGTAAAAATATGTCTCAGATTTTTATTGTAATTGATTTTTTTTCCTTTCCTTTGAATCGTACAATATAACATTATATTACGAAGATTCATTATTTCCTTGGGTGATCTGTCAACTCTATCTGCAATCAGTTACCTGAACTAAATGATAATAAAAAGACAGAACATGAGGATAAAGTGGACATTGAAAGGCAGCATGTTACATCCTTCTGCGATAAAATCAATAAAATATTATCATTTATTTATGAATAGAAACTCGTCGTTTAATTATGTTTATATTAATACATTATTTTTTAATGAATAAACTTTTAAAATAAATAAAATATCTTACGTAATTTTAGTCGTTTCTTTGAATACTTTGTCAATTTTGTCAGCCTCTAATTAATCAGAATTCCTTTTTCTCCGGCTTTAAGAGTTTGATTTTGCTTTTTTTTTTCTCTCTCACAGAAATAAAAATAAAATTATAGAATTTCTGGAAAATTAAAAGAGGATAAAAGCAAATAATATTCGCAAGAATAAAATCGAGGCCATCGTTCAAAATTAATCAGCCCATATGACAGAAATTTCTAATTTAAATGTTAATTATTAATAATTGCATAATGTAAAAACATGATGGAACTCACGACAGGATTCGAAAAATGCTATTTTCCTTTCGGCTATCCATTTTCAATGGTGATTTATTGAAACTGTCGTTTTCTTTCGTGTTATTTTGGCATATTTTCCGCTTCGTCCTGGTAAATTTCTGTCTCGTGTATCAGTTAAACATCCCTCATTAGAGAGATTGTCAACAAACAAGATATTCATTATTACGTAAGGAATTCATTAGCCTATTCGATAACTAAGCCGATAATTAGTAATTCTAAAGCCATATTGTTCTCCAATAATTCACTGTTATTGGGTGTGGCCATTTGTCAGAAGTTCTTACTCCACCCTCACCGAGACGTACGCTTCTACGACACTTAACCGGTGTCATTGTGATTTACTGGCAAATGCTATTCGAGTGTTTGCCCTTGAAAAGTAGCAAACTCAACTTTTTTTTCTTAATTTATCCACCCATCCACAATAGATAACAAGAGCAAGAGTTGAGTAGAAAAAAAAATCAATAGAGTAAAAAAAAAATACATAGAATAATAGAATTAAATTGGCGCAGATTTTTTTTTATATATAAAATAGTTCTAGTTTTTAGTTTCTAGTTATATTTTATCTGAGGCTGTCAATAAATAATTACGTGTATAAAATGTAAGAGAAATCTCAGAAAGAGAATTTAGTTTATGAAAAATTAAACAACCTGAGAAATAATAAATTTAATATTAAATATGGATTAACGTATTCTTGTAATAGAAATCGAATAAAGTAAAGAGAATGTAACTAAAAGTTATATTAAAAATTACAAAGGCTCAATTGCCTGGCAATTTTCTATTGGTGGGCTATAAAATGTGTGGAAATCTTCGACTTTCGGATGGGTCTCCTTTTTTATTAATTTAGTGACTTTTCGTTGAAATTTTTTAAATTTTTGTACTATTTAAAAAATTTACTGCGGTAAAAGACATCAAGATAAATGATTATTTAGCTATCGTTAATGATTATCGATCCGAAACTGTTAAAAGTGGACACCGAATCGATGAGATCAATTAAGGTTTGCTGATACTTAACCACTCGAATAAATGAGGTGGAGTGTATAAAGTATACGGTTAACTAATTTAATTAATACACTAAAAGATCCTTTTTTTTATCTGAAAATTTCAAATATTTTTATTTTTATTTCCCTTTATTATTCATTCGATTTAGAGAAAAGTTTCTGAATTATCTTCTCGCGGTTTATATTTGTGTGCGTGACCAGAATGTTTTTTTTTTTTTTCTATTTTTATAGTATTAAAATAGACATAAACATAATTCTGTAACCTACCTAATAATATAATTCTGTTATCGATCCGGAGAGTTACGTAATTTCAGAAGAAGATATCAACTTAAAATAAAAAAAGAACATAGCTACTCTATGACGTACTTATTTGGGATGATGTGAGTGTTGGATCCACCCAGAGGATTTAGGAATAAAATTTAAACTAAAAAACTTTATAATTAATTTTTTATAAATACTTTTATTACTTTAAAATTAATACTTTTTACATCATACTTCTAGATTACTCCTAGAGGAAAATCTTAGTTATCCACTCTAGTTACTTATCTAAGCTCTTCATAGACGTTTAAAACTAAAGAAAATTAATTAACTAAATTAGAAAAAATATATTTTTAATAATTTATGTAAATGATATTTTTTTATTTGGGTATAGAGAAGTTTTTTCTGAGTTTTTGTAATTAGTATTCACTTTTTATCTCTCAATTGATCAACTGTATCGATTAACAAAAACAAAACAATGTTAAAAACTATACATCTGACGTTATTATTTGTCTCTATTAAACTCATTCAGGACTTAGAAAAACATCATTCATAAATTCTGTACATGATAATAATAATTGATAACCTTAGCTTGATGATAAGTGATGACTCCGTCTCGGAACCGATGTATAAATCCATCGTAAATGAAGCGATTTATACACTTTCTTAAGCAAATTTTACAGTAAAAAACAGTAAAATCTAAATCCCACAACATAACAAATTTAAAAATTAAATTAGAATCACATAACCGTAATTTATACTCAATCAAAGTATATAAATAAATAAATATTCGATTATGAATCTAATATAATTCAATAAAATAAATCAAAGATTTGATAATTTTAAATAAAATCCTTCTATAAATATAACGAATCGAAGTTCAAATCCTAAGAGACGAATATCAATCACCGATTCGCTGTCAAAAATCGAAATTTATTTCGCAAAAATTATAAAGTTTTAGTTGTAAAATTAGATTTATAAATAATTAATATTTAATAAAGTTTAATTTAAAAAATAATAATAATTTTTGTATAACTTTTTAATTAATTAATTAATTTTTTTTCTGTCTGAGAGAAATTTCTTATTCTTCTTCTCCATTGAAACTGAATTCGTTGAAAATGTCGGAGGAAAAAAAAAATCTTTACTCGAAATTATTCTTTCATCCAAGAGATTAAATAATGTAAATCTCTTCTTTGATATTCAATATCTAATTTAGAGGAGTTATCTTTCACAGGTATAACTTTATCGATCAAATAAACTAGCGAACAAGTTCAATTTTCATTTACAATTCTCTTCTTCACTTTAGAAATTTTTATAAATATCTATAAATTAATAAATTATTTAATCTTAACAGTAAAATAAAAAAAAAAAAATTTTCGTATAAATCTTTTATTGCTATAATTTTTTAATATATTAAGCAAATATTTATAAGATAAAAATCGAGTAAATCCTTTAAAGATGGCTGCTCTCATGTAAATCTTAGTATAAAGTTATTTTATCTTCTTTTAAACTTTCTTTAAAGTCTTCTCACGCAAGTTATAAAATATTTTTTTCTTTTTATTTTATTATTTTATTTTTTATTAAATTTTAATTCAAATTTTCTTGTAAGTAAGAGAAAAGGGAAATGCCAACCATTAGAAAAATTATGATAAGCATTAGAAATTTTTATTAATTTGCCAACAAACGGAAACTCTGTCACACACACAAAAAAAAAATTAGGCAAATAGAAATGGAAGTGAAGCAAATTCGCTTTCCTTTTTTTTTTTTTTAAAGATTCTTTCCTGGCTTTTGATTGAAATTGTTTGCATTATTTCTTCCTTTACCGGAACTCAATCAATATTCGGAATTAATAGAACTGGCACAAGAACTAATCGATAAACATTAGGTCTACAATCTTGGTTTACGTTGCAAACAACGTAACTGTCTTCAAATTAACCGATAAAATTCGTTAATATTTTAAAAATAATTTACTCAACACGTTCTAGAATTCATATAATAAATTATAATTAATATATATCGAGTAATTTAAAAGAAAAAAATATATATAATGTTTTTTCGAAGTTTACAGGCTACGGAATAGCCTATAACTCTAAGGGATATATACACCAGGCACATAGATAAGATGAATAATGTATAGATAGGCTATCAGACGGAAGCCTGTCTGTCGTTTCTCGTTCGACATGACAGATGTGCGACTCTGCACGACAAACCACAGACAAGGGTGGAGCACCTTAAGACGACTCCACCCTTTGTTTCTGATAGACATCGGAACCATCGAAAATTACGAGGAAGAACGATTCGATGATAAAATAAATCTTTTCTAGCAATTTTATGCTCGGTAAAAAAAAAAAATAATAATAATTTTTGTATAACTTTTTAATTAATTAATTAATTTTTTTTCTGTCTGAGAGAAATTTCTTATTCTTCTTCTCCATTGAAACTGAATTCGTTGAAAATGTCGGAGGAAAAAAAAAATCTTTACTCGAAATTATTCTTTCATCCAAGAGATTAAATAATGTAAATCTCTTCTTTGATATTCAATATCTAATTTAGAGGAGTTATCTTTCACAGGTATAACTTTATCGATCAAATAAACTAGCGAACAAGTTCAATTTTCATTTACAATTCTCTTCTTCACTTTAGAAATTTTTATAAATATCTATAAATTAATAAATTATTTAATCTTAACAGTAAAATAAAAAAAAAAAATTTCGTATAAATCTTTTATTGCTATAATTTTTTAATATATTAAGCAAATATTTATAAGATAAAAATCGAGTAAATCCTTTAAAGATGGCTGCTCTCATGTAAATCTTAGTATAAAGTTATTTTATCTTCTTTTAAACTTTCTTTAAAGTCTTCTCACGCAAGTTATAAAATATTTTTTTTCTTTTTATTTTATTATTTTATTTTTTATTAAATTTTAATTCAAATTTTCTTGTAAGTAAGAGAAAAGGGAAATGCCAACCATTAGAAAAATTATGATAAGCATTAGAAATTTTTATTAATTTGCCAACAAACGGAAACTCTGTCACACACACAAAAAAAAAATTAGGCAAATAGAAATGGAAGTGAAGCAAATTCGCTTTCCTTTTTTTTTTTTTTAAAGATTCTTTCCTGGCTTTTGATTGAAATTGTTTGCATTATTTCTTCCTTTACCGGAACTCAATCAATATTCGGAATTAATAGAACTGGCACAAGAACTAATCGATAAACATTAGGTCTACAATCTTGGTTTACGTTGCAAACAACGTAACTGTCTTCAAATTAACCGATAAAATTCGTTAATATTTTAAAAATAATTTACTCAACACGTTCTAGAATTCATATAATAAATTATAATTAATATATATCGAGTAATTTAAAAGAAAAAAATATATATAATGTTTTTTCGAAGTTTACAGGCTACGGAATAGCCTATAACTCTAAGGGATATATACACCAGGCACATAGATAAGATGAATAATGTATAGATAGGCTATCAGACGGAAGCCTGTCTGTCGTTTCTCGTTCGACATGACAGATGTGCGACTCTGCACG